TTTAATTAAATAATTAAGGCTAATTATATTCTTCTATATATATAGAGTTATAGAAAAAGAGAAAATAGGGTGTCTATATATAAATAAAAATAAATAAGAAGGAGAGTTTAATTAAGTATAAAGAATTATAAGATATTATTATATATATATGCTTGCCTATTGTTCTATAACTATAGCCTATTTATAGCTTAAAGTAAATAGAAGTAAATAATTTATAGTTAGTAGTATATTCTTTATTTAATTTAAAGTCCAAGAGAAAATATATACTTGATATTTACTATAAAGAACTAGTAATTCTAATATAACTATAGTAGATAAGGTTCCCCTCTGGAAACCTGCATAGAAATCTAACCTAGGTTAGATTTCTATACCTTATATATATTATATTACTTAACTGATGTTTTATAATAGAGGTTTTGCTTAATTTACTTTAATATAACATTTATATATTTATGCTCTTTGAATATTAGTATAGTTTTATATATTAAAAATTACTTAGTGGGTTTATAGGTCTAACCTAGCCTAGACTAACTAGATTTAGTAGGCAGAGAATAATGTTCTTAGCAGAATAGAACCCACCAGGTTGACTACCTTAGAACCCGCTGGGTTATGGGCTGGGTTAGGGCCCTGGAAATTTAGAACCTGAACCTGCTGGGTTGGGTTTGAAACATAGGGGAACCCAGCCCAACCCACGGAAATAACAACCGTACATCTACCATTGCCAAGCCATGGCATATGGTAGTTGGTCATGTAACATGACAGCTATATTTAGCATCCTTTTAGTAAATATGAATTGTCCTTCATAATAACTTGGTCATTACTAGAGATCAGTCACATGGGTGACTAGTGGGTAGTGGCTACCTATGTGGTATAGTAGTATATAACTAAACTATTTTTCTATGAGGAGGAGTCTATCTGGATTAAGTATTTCCCTGGATTGCTGGGTGATCATTTCAGGATTGATTGGTGATCAATAGTCCTTTAGGTTCTGCCTGTCACATCCGCCTTGCGCTAATGCGGCTGTGTTGGTGTCGTAACACTAGACTACTAATAATTACCCTAGGTAACGCGATGTATTAAGATAGAACCACCACAGGCAAATAATTAACCATACATTACAGATCCATATTAACTATAAACATTGCAGGATAAACACTAATAGTGTGAAATATATGGATGGCAGTTATTCTCTTAGCAAACCGTGGAGAGGGTTCGCTCTAGGTAGGGGAGGATGTGATCCTATTAGTAGTTATGAGAGCCATTCTTTACTATTAGGCATGTTCCATACCCCTTTATAGTATTGATGTCTTATCATTGTTATTTATATTTTGCTATTAGGAATGTACAGTAGCTCCTAGAGTAGATATATAGTGATGAGCCGGCCCTAGCTTAGGAGAAGGCAGGTCACAGCATATGACTGCTTCCTGTCTCCCTCTAGCTAACGAAGGCCGCTCACCATTACTACCCAAGCGAAGGAGCGAATAACACTACTATAGCACCCAGACTCTAGCTTCTGCTAGTTTAACTAGTAGTTTATTACTAACCTTATCCTCTCTCTGTAATATACCTCTATTAATAGCAGCACCTAGATGATGCAGGGTGCCTAAATAGCTATCACACCTTACCTTAATTACATTAACTTTACCTTATCTGCTAGCAGTTTCTGGGTATTTTTTAATCTATATTATAAATTTACCTTAGCCTAGATAGCCTTTCTAGCTATTACTACTACTACTCCTCTCTTAAACCCTTCTTCTATTAATACTTTAATAGCTGCTTCCCTACCTCTTCCCAACCTAAATAATAAACTGCCTGTCTTCACGGCCTCTTAGCCTGCTAGTTCCATCATCACCTATAACATCTATATCTTTACTAACTATACCTTCTCTAGCCAGCATCTCCCCCTCTATACTATAGGTAAGGATGCCACCTCTCTAATCCTAGTTATGGATTGGTTAACTGTTCTCACTGAGTTGACTGGGTATCAGGTCAAGGGTAGCAGTGTGGTAGTTAGGGGTTGGGAGCTGGGACCGGATATATAGGTGGCAGGCATAGCAGTGCAGATGTTACAGGCGTGGTTATTATTCTAGTATATAATGAAGTAGGGAGCAAGTACTTCTCTCGCATAGTTTGGCTTAGCAGAACATTGCGAGCTCAGACTAGATAAGAGAATCCTAAGGAGAGGAGCGACCATGTAGTCACTTTTTGGCCAGTACCATACTAGCTTGTTATCTACATCCATCTCTATAGCTAGGTGGTTCTGATCTGGTCCTTCATATTGCATTTCATCTCAGCACGGCGCTCGCAGGTAGGCAGCCTAACTAAAGAACTTAGAGCGTGACCAAGGTTACCGCGGCCGCACTCCAGTTATCATGGCCATGCCCATTAGGGGAAGGTGGTGGAGGGAAATGACCCATGCCTGGATTCAGAGATCTAACGACACCCTGCTTTCTCTTCAGCGCGCACACCTCCACCTCATCCTTTCCCCTGTCTGCCGCAACGACTGAACCCTCACCGAAAGCTAGGACTGCAATAGTTGAATATAATAAGGGGTGCGCGAATGGGGAAGTGGTCACGTGACTTCTGGTGTCCTCTCTGGATGGGAGTTCATTGGTGCCTGAGGCAGATCGCGAGGCTTGAAGAGCATGAGCACTCGGCAGGCCTTGCCCACTACATTACTAGACTAGGAATCAAACCCTCACGACTATGAGTTCAGCGAGGGTCAGATTTGATTTTAGTGGTTTGGTTATGTAACTCTACCATAAGTTCCCTGTTAGGTGCTGACTGCTGTCCATTTATTTTACAAACTTCTTATTATACGTATCAGAGATAAGCTTCATATCTACAACCCCTAGGTAATGAGTTCTTGGAACAAGAGTGGGTGGAGATAGCAGAATATGTAGTAGAACCAATCTTGGATGCAAGGGTTGATTGATTGAAAAGAACGAATATCATGGGGCAGGTTAAAATACCCGGCTCTGATACAGTGTTACGATACTAAAAAACACAACGGAAAGTGGGTCACTCAATGTAACCCCTGTTGGAGTGGTAAGTTACCTCACCATGTCTTGACAATCTATTAGTATGCTCCAGCTCTCTTCTTATATGCAGGCTGCTCTGATGCCGCGATCTCACCTAGTGCAGAACGCACTGGTGTGGAATTCGTCAAATGGAAACCGCCTAGTCTCGCACCATCGCTCTCCTGAGCCCAGAGCGTTAGTGCAACCCAGTTCTCATCTTGATAATTCAATATTCCCTGTGGCACGTGGAACTCCGTTTGGGGTCCGATATGTGGTATGAACTTGCCAAACTGATATCCGTTAACATACAGCAGCACTCTATACGGCTTCGTGGTGGCGGAATTGTCGCTAAAGACGAAGGACAGCGGGATATCATGATGGAAGGAGGTGGAGTAAAAGCCGATACCAGCTTCATCGAGCCCAGTAAAAGGACTGGAGATCTGCCAGTGTTCGCTCGGTGGTTTAGGTTGATGCCAGCCTTGTCGCTCTGCGTAGAGGCCTCCTTCATTCAGTGGCCCACGCGCAAGATCGATGTAGTCCTCACCGCCGAGATTACCGGTCAGTTTCCAGGAAACGTCATGTTGGTTATGGCCCGAGAGGCTGTAGTCAAGAATACCCCGTGGGTTCTTCAACTGGCTCGAAGGACCTCTCCATTCTTCGTCAAGACCCATTACTTCGACAACAATCGTCAAGACATAGCTGGCACCTGAGTGGAGGGAGGGCAAGTTGAAGGTAGATAACTGGGAGTTAATTGAGGCACTACCATCCCAAGAGCCTATAAATGTCTGGTTAAGCCAAACGGAGCTTCCATAAGCAGTACCACCTTGAGTCTGCATGGTGAATGACTGCTCCAGACCATTGGCGACGAAGTGGCCACGGTACAGCAAGGTGCCAGTATGAAAGCCGTAGTCAGATGAATAAAGAGATACAGGGGTTTTTAAGGGGGCGACGGTGTTATTGGTTGTATTGTGATTAGCACTAATCCAAGCGCTGTCGTCATAGAATGGTTGGACTTCTGGCAAGCTATTGATATACTTCCATTCTAACTTCGAGAAGTCTGGAAGAGTAAGGCCTGGGCTGGTGTACTCGAATTGCGTCTTCCGGAACCCATTCGAATCTGTATCGTAGTGAAATTTCTTACCATTGATGAAAAGGCACTTGGCTGCGTTTGGAGCTCCAATGACTTCGATATCAGTAGTGGCGTTGAAGTCGACTGTGAGATGCAGTTGGTCACCTTGTATGTGGGCTGTGCGTACAAGGTAACCAGCTTTAACAATGATCGAGTTTTCAATGGCACTCTTGGTCGTAAAATCAGTCTTGGAGGATGAAGCATCGAGTTGAGGGACCCAATAATTGTATGCAGAGTTACGATCTGCTTGTTCTTAGCAATGTCACATGTGGAAGCAACCACTTCAGATCTCACCAAGGAGCAAAATCAGTAGATCTCCAACTTTGACAATGGTCCGCGAAGACGACACATCCCATGATACGATAGACTGGCCGTTCACGGACTTTGTCAGAATAGAATACTGTGGACCACTCAATATACTAGCCGCTGACTTCGAGGAAACTGCAATTTCATGATGCTCGCCCAACCCGCCGTAGACTATAAGCACGCTGTAGTCGTGGAACTTCTTCCAAGTGAATATCTCGGCTGTTGAGTAGAGAATGTTTGTGCCCCCAACATCGTAATCAGTGACGTGGACCTTAGAGTCGCGGCCGTTCAGGGTCAGCGAACCTCCTAATTGAGGCACGGCCAGAGTACCAGCGCTCGTTGGGACCTTAAGAGTATAGTTCGTAAAACTGGTACTGGTGTAGTCAGTATGCCTGACGACGAAAAATGAGGAGTTGTGCCCAATCAATGGAGTCACTGTGAGGTCAGTTGTTTGTGTGTACTGGGTCGTCGATGCGTTGCCAGGTACAGCAACGAGATACGATGGCGAGGCTTTGAGGAAATTGCCAATGAGTTTAAGTGCGCTGTACTTCTCACGGTTTATCTCTCGTGTTTCAGATATCGCAGCACCATAGTCGTAGCTCGAGTACCCTCCCGGATAACCGAGGTTGCCCCAGTTTGTGCCACCGTATATCTGCAAGGAAATTAATATATGTCGGTCTCATTCGACAAAGTGGAAATCTCACCATGTACAAATTCAAAACTGCAACCCCTGCGGCCAGGTTGTTCTTGTAGAAGACGTTTTCAAACTGATCATTGAATGCAGCACTACATTTGTCGTAGCCGGAGCCTCCCCAACCATCGAAGAAACCGCCTTGAAACTAGCAAAATAATAAGAACGAGTGTGCGGAAGTAAGGAAATTTCCAGGAGACATACCTCAACAAGTGAAAAAGGAGTAGACGGGCTTTGCTGCATGTGACGCTCCCGGAAATAAGTGGGCAGAGCTCCTGAAGGCCATGACGATGGAGTTTCCTAGTTTTCTTATTAGGGTACTGAGCTACATCGACTATGGAATTTAGAGCCCTACGCAAGATCCAATACTATTCAAGACCGTTAGTATATTGAGGAAGTGAATGACTTGACTGCACTCACGGGTAGGCGTCATGACCATAAATATCCACAGCCCCTACTCCGGACCCGGGCAGGAAATCTCCAGCGGGCCATTGGTCGTTGCTGATGAACGGAATTACCACGCCCGCTTCTCTGGCAGCGTCCATAATGTCCTGCATATATTGAGGGTCAACGGATGTGGCGTTTTCCCACGGGGTGTACTCATTCTCGGGTTGATAGAGAATGATAGGGCCGCCGTTAGTGATTTGATTTTTGGCAATTGTACGCGCGACATTCGTCAAATATCTATAACGAAAGCTTTAGCCGTGCAGCAAAATATGGAAATGTCTCATGTTAAGAGGTCCACACAATTCGTATGTCTTCATGTACTCAGGGTCTCCACTTCGTAAAGTCCCAGGAACTCTTGAAAGCCAGCCTGGGAAGCCGCCGCCGGAGACTTCGGCGTTGATATAAGGACCGGGGCGGGCAAGAAGATAAACTCCCGCTTTAGAGGCTGCATCAAAAAAAGGCTGCAGATCGAACACACCATCTGCTCGATAGGTGCCCCGGCTGCCTTCCAAAAGAGCCCAGTCAACGTAAAATGAAACAGTATTGAAGCCGAGGGCTTTAACTTTTTGGAACACGTCGAGATAAAGTGACTGGACAGGAAGCCTGGAACCAAAATTAGATTATGTATTAGGGGATATTGACTCCTTTGAAGTGTACCGGAATGGGTGTATTTCACCTGAAAAGATCATGGCTCTCTCTCCATGGATATAGAGCGATTGATTATCCCATGTCACCTGGCTATGTCAATAGAAATTCCGTAGATGGAGCAGACTGACCGTTTCTCTTACGATATTTTGCAAGGAAGCCCGCTTTTCGCCGCCCAAGTGATCTGTAATACCGTAAGAGCCAATTGGATGAGACAAAGCCCTTCCTAGGACTTGCACCGACAGACAAGCCAGAGCCGGGACTGCAGAAAGGAGCTTCATGTTTTGAGATGGCTGCAATCAACAACCAGTCAAGCTACAGAGGTTTGGATTTTGGAAAACCTTGTAGAATGCAATTTTCGCAATCCTGATGATAACTATGTAGGATATGTAGCAGGGTCATTACCCCGCCCTCAATCTTTCATGGGTTCATTCAATTTACCCGGTCAAGAGGCAATACTCCGCCGCCCCGGGGGGGAGATTCTCAAGTCCATTATGTTTACTTGAATCCAGCAAACCCCGTAGGCTCGGTTTCCGTAGATCTATGATATAATGGTAGCTAGAGTGTCGGATCAGCATGGCGTGGAGAGTGCGTATCGCGTTTTCAGATTTTCCGGTCAAGAGGTAATATCCCGGCGTGGTAGCAAGTAGAATTGAACTCCGAGACAGAAAGGATAAGGCTATAAGCATTTACTGGACAGAATGAACTCCCTAGATAGTATTATTAACCGTTTGTCTCAGTCTGAATATGCTTCCTACAAAATCTAAAACAGCAGGTTCACCATTGATAGTCAATAAAATAATAGAGGATTTTCCATGATTCCTCAACAACGGTGGCAGGGGTTGGGCGTTTCAATATACTGTCCTTCACTGCCTGGTGCAGGGCACCACCTGAAGCACAGGTTTCCTGATACGCCATGTAGACTATTTTAAAGCTCTACAATACCATATAAAAGTTAAAAAAAAAAAAAAAAAAAAAAAAAAAAAAAAAAAAAAAAAAAAAAAAAAAAAAAAAAAAGTAATAAAAATGTGGATAACCAAATAAGTGACGACGAAGCTAATGAACTGATTTTCCCTAGCAATAACGGTGGGGGAGTCGGATATGGCGGCCCCTACCCCATGGGGGTTCTGCCCATCTGGGTTAAGGCACAGATATATCTCTGCAATGGCCCCACACGTTAGGGCATCTAAAGGGGGCGGCGTCAGATATCTCACATATCTCCCTGATGGAAGTTACATTGGTTTGTAATCGGCATCACTCAATAACTATAAAGAAAGCCATAATATGAACAGCTTATCTAAGAAGGCTTAGAATAAACAAGAAATTTCACACTATTTAAGAAGTACACCTTCAAGAATGTGCTGTTTAACTAGACTGGTCGTGGATTGGGTTTGGGTTAAATACCCTGTGGTTTGACCCAAACCCAACCCTCGACCAGTCTACATGTGCCTCAGGTCAAAAGATATAGCCATCTAAGTATTACCAAAGAGTTGTGCAGGGGACATTATAAATATATACAGCTTTGGAAACATTGTAAATTTAATTATTCTTAAGGGGCTCTGAACGCGATAAGCACAATAAAACTTGAATGTATGCACTGATGTCTTATATGATCCGGCACTCCAGGCTCTATTTCTAGCTAGCGGAGTATACCGGCTACGAGCACATCGTTCACATTGTTGGTTGCGTAGGGTTATCGTTGACTTCTCTTTTCCATTGACCACTCGGCTTGGGTCTTTTCAGACTTGGTCTGCTGGGTTTTTATACAGAGTGGTCCTGTTACTATGATATAGTTGGCCTTGTAATGGGATGAATAAATCAAATTGAAGGTTGAATGAGGCGGAGTCTCAAAACCCAGATAAAGATGGTTAGCGCGGTCCTTTGGCTCTGTTGCTGGGGTGTTTGTACCTTCGCTCAACCCCACCGCGGACCCGGTGTCGCGAGACTCACATACTAAAACAAGAAGGGCAACGGCCTTGCTAACCGTAGTTTTCTGCTCGGTAGGGCGATAGGCCCGAGATATCCGAGAATGAAAGAAATGGAATGCCCATAATGTCGCAGGAAAGTAGCCGCGATTTTATTGTAACTGGCGGCAGCAACAATCAGCTTCCAGTAGGTCATTTCAGATCCTTTGACAGCATTTTAGGCTGCTTGGGAGAGTGCAGGCGAACCAAGGGCGAGCCTCTGCAGAGATCGAGATCCACCCCATCCGCATTTCTCACTTTATATATACGGATGCCTATGGCGGGACCGCAGAGAAACGAGCCAAATTTCTCCTTGACATCTTGACACAGTGTCGTGGCGTGGCCCCCGCAGGATTCTGTATAGGTGTCAAGATAAATTCTGCGGATCACGATACAGCAGATTTTGAAGATACCATTTGCCTGATTGGGCTCTTGGTTGAAGGGGGTATTGACTTCCTAGAAGTTAGCGGCGGGAGTGCCGCGGACCCGAAGGTATTCGCGCCTTGGAGTTCTGTTTCGAACCCAGCTTTTAACATACAGTCTACAGATGGTGTACGGCAACGAGAACAAGCATCCGGAACAAAAGACCCTACGCAGTGCTGCGCGCGAAGCATTCTTTCTCGAATTTGCTGCAGAGACTCGCAAGAGGTTTCCCAAACTTATCCTTATGTTGACGGGGGGTTTCCGCAGCCGTGCTGGAGCTGAGGCTGCTATCAGGGACAGTGTGTGCGATCTGGTCGGCATTGCACGTCCAGCGGCTGTCAACCCGAAACTACCATTGCTACTGATAGACGAGAGCGTTCCAGACATGGAAGCGAAGTTTCCTTTGAATAAGGTCCAAACTCCTCGACTGGCTAAAATTCTGAACATAAAGGTGTTGGGGGCGGGTGCGGAGAGCGTAAGTGGTCCTGCCTACATGGTTTTTCTGAACCGGTTGGACAGATTTTTGGCTCATGATAACATTTAGACGTTCTATATGAAACAGATACACCGGCTCGCCAATGGACAACCAACCTTTGGCCCTGCTCCGTAATGAGAAGGGCCAGTAGAGGACGCAAATGAAGGGGGCAGATGTATGATAGGAATATGTCGAAGAGATCAGACCAGTACATGGGGCACGAGCACCAGCCGCAATTCCAAATTTTTGAAACGAGATGTACGTCTCCGCACTAGAAGTTTCATGCAGCACATCCCGCGAAGGAAGGGAGGGGGTGCAGTAGTGAGTTCAAGCTGTGTGTTCATGAGGGCTTGAATAACCATCACATAGAAATATGAGTGTCAAGGCTCTAACCATACATAAGTATGGCTGCACCCATTCGTCCTATCTGGGTCTGCTTACTTGGGTCGTTGACAAAATCGTGACTGCTTGAGGTAGGAGTCCCTGTATCGAAAATCAAACTTTTTTGAAGATGAATTCTTTCAGGGCCGAAAATCGTATGAATCTTTTGAATAATAAGCGAGCAGCCCCTGCATCTTAAGTGGACCTAAGTTCCGGTTCCAAGCTCATGAAATGGCATATGATTATTCCATAGTTAAGCCCATCCGTGTCCTCAGGTGGGGTCCTTGATTTCTGGTGCCCACGGCCCCTGGAGTTCCCGTACCACAAGGTGTCCTATGCTGTACGCAAGCGCTCTGCAAACCGCCAACTTCTTTACTATGAGACGAGCCTCTTTAAAAGAAATCAACCATAGTAGAGAGCTTGAAGATGGGCTAAACCCCATATTGCCGCGGAATTACTAAAAATTTCAATGCTGGGGACCAGAAATATTGTCATACCAGTCCAACCCTCGAAGTTCGGCGATCCACGGTCCAGTAACCTCATGCCTGACCAAGCAAAGCCAGACGGAGCAGCGGATTCTCTAGTGGAACCTGGTCAGCGGTGAAGTCTTCATCACCACAATCATCAAGTTTGCGCTAGGCGTAAATGTAGCTAGAGATAGCGAGGTATGGTGCCTAGTTGGAACGGAGCGAAAGCAAATGGACAACACGATCTATCAACAATTGACGCTGTTTCCTGCTTCCTTTTGCATTAATTCAGCAATTGACGTCTTCCTATCTGCATAGATAATGGCCTCAGAGAAGGACCAATTTCCCGGCCGCAGCGCCAATTTCGGTTTGGGCTATAATCACTACAATCGTCTGATACAGGGCAGGGCTTCTCCATCTCGTCCAACTTTCTTCTCGCCCGGACTTTTCATATGTGACGGTGAGAGACCACTTCTCACGGTTCAAAACAGCATCTTATGGCTCTCCATTAATGTAGCACGACACATTCTTCAGATCTGCACCTGTCACCGAACCTTGGATCTTAATAACCGCCCGTGAGCCGCGAATATCTTTTGCCTGCTTGTCGATCACCAGATCAGGCGGATGTTGGGATGGTTCACGAGTAGCACCAACCGGAACCTGATCTGTGTCGAGGGCAGGCACAAGAGGTGGCTGCACACGGGAGTGGGTGGCCATTTCAAAGGCATACGCCAATCGTAAGAGGGTATTCTAAAACCCTAACTATACATTTGCGTCCTACAAAAACATACATTGAACTACACTACCTCTCGGTGCTAAGAGGGCAACTGAGGCAATCTTTGGGTACCTGTTAAAGTGCTGCCTGGATGGAAGTGTTCATACAATTTCTTACAATGAGGACATGTACAACACCTGCAGTCCAGACTGCAGACGCTTCGACCATTGGTTAACGGATAGTTGTCAATGGACAGGTTCGAATAGAAAGATGAGACAGAGGAATGCATCACAATTTTGCCTTGGTTCCCTTCTGGATGTATGCATCCCAATCCACCTTCCTTCCTGACTGGAACTCGCGGACGCCGTAAGCGCCATCCCCATCTGGCCGCATCATTTTATAGAAGAGAGATTTGATCCCCTCGGCTTGTTCCTCCTTGCCTGCGTGGGCCCAAGCCAATGTCAACAGCTCCTTCGACATGCGAGATGCATCAGGCGAGACATGTCGCAAACGCACCAACAAGGCGTCCAGCCGCTGGTGCAAGTCTTCCGCATTCTCTGCAATCTCCACCACCAGTCCGAGAGAATGCAGCTGCTCAGGCTTGACCGGTCGAGCGGAAAGCATCGCCTCTCGAGCAAATGCAACACCCCACTCCCGGATCACATACTTGGAGATAGTCGCGGGACAAAGTCCCAATTTACCTTCGCTCAGGGTCACTGTGGCAGACTTTGCACAGAGTCGAATGTCACAAGCAAAGGCTAGTCCAACACCACCGCCAAAGGCTGGTCCATTAAGACAGGCAATGGTCACTTTCGGGCACCTATCAATCACATCAAACAGCTCGGTCAAGCGCTTAAACTGCGCCTCGCTGCTAGAGCCCCCTTGCCCCACAGGGGAGCTTCCCTTCCCGAGATCCATTCCGGTGCAGAAGAACTTTCCGCTACCAGTAATGATAATGCGTGCGACAGTTGGATCAGAACTGGCGTTAACTATGAGCGATGTGAGCTTTGCGATCATTGCAGCTGCCAATGCATTTCCATTCCGTGGTCGGTTCAGCATGATTTTCAGGTTTACTCCGCTCCGATAAAGCTGGATTCCATCCGCGTCACTTGCCAAGGTCCATCGTAATGTCGGTAATGATTGCGTCGATTGGGCCTTTGTCGGACGCGCAGTCTTGGCCGCCTTGCTGGCCAGAGCGACGCCTGCTCGACTTGAGTTCGACCTTGAGAGTTGTTTGGAGATCCAGACTCCCGTTTCAACTAAGCTGGAGAGGTCAATGCCGGTCTCAACTCCTGCATCCTGGAACATATAGACAACGTCTTCTGTCGAAACGTTTCCTTTCGCCCCGGGTGCAAAAGGACAACCTCCGAGGCCAGCGACACTGCTGTCGAAAACGCGGACTCCGCATGTATAGGCCTCCCATACGTTGGCCACCGCTTGGCCGTATGTATCATGAAAGTGTCCTGCTAAGCTGCTGATGGGGACGCCTGCGTTGGTCAAATATTGGATCAGGCTGCGGACACTTGCCGGTGAACCCACTCCGAGGGTGTCGCCCAGGCTGACCTCATAGCAACCCGCGTCGAGCAGGGCCCGTACGCAGCGCACCACAGCGGCTGGGGGAGTTGGGCCATCGTATGGGTCGGCAAAGATGCAGGATACATAGCTGAGGGGTCAGTCTGATATTACACGTGTGCGTGCCGATGATACTTACCCTCGGACCGCTAACCCAGAATCGATCGCTTGAAGTGCGACCTCCTTGGCTCTCTCGAGCCCTTGGTTCACCGTGCAATTGATGTTCGCTCGACTAAAGCCTTCTGTGGCACTGATGAAGACGGCGATCTCCTTCACACCTGACAAACGGGCGATTTCCAGTCCCTTGAGGTTCGGTACTAAGACCGGTATACGCAGTTTGGGATCCTTTGCCAAGTCTTGGACCGAGGAATGTTGAAGCAGATCGCGACAGTCTGCAAGCTGAGGAATTCTTCGTGGTGACACGACAGAAGTCAGTTCGATGGCTTGCAGACCAGCCTTCACCAGCCGATGAATTAATTCCAGCTTGGTTGCCGTGGGTATCGGGGTGGAGATGTTTTGCAGTCCATCACGGGGTCCTACCTCGACAATTCTCACTGCTGGGGATATACTCGGCATGATGAATAGAATGTCATAAGCCGTGAATACGCAGTCTGAGTCTGGATGTACTTCAGGCATAGCCTATATACTAGGGGCTATCAAGATGATCGGGTGAATGCTCACCGGACCGCTGTGTCCCTCGCGGACCGCGGACCGAGCTTGCCGGGAGAGAAGAGGGTTATCGTCCCCATTAGTATCTGGGGCAATTGTCTACGGAATATACGCTCAATGACCACTGGAATTGTACCACTATATTGTTGCAGTTGTAGACAGCTCTGTTACAATCTCGCCCGTAGACTCTCAAGCTTGACTAACCGGTTTCCTATATCGCGCAGGATGTGCTTCTGGTGTTTTCCGCTGCCGGTTTTGGGGAAATCCTCGCCGACGCCCGCATCGCCGATCCAGAAGATGTGCTGAGGCGCCTTATGACGACCCAGAGTCTGACTGACATACTGCCGGAGTTCTTCGTGGCACGGTCTTGAGCCTTCCTCCATCGCCTTTAGGAAGCAACCGACGACTTCCCCATACCATTCGTTCTTGATTCCCACCACACTGGCCTCGCTGATGGCGGGATGGGTCATCAGTCTCTCCTCGATTTCACGGGGAAAGATATTTTCCCCGCCTAGTGAGCGTAGTTAGTATTGAAGATGATCGAAAAGGGTGGTGTAAATTACCTCGGATGATAAGGTCCTTGATGCGACCAGTGATGGAGGCGTATCCATCGTCATCAATCACAGCCTCGTCGCCTGTGTGCATCCAGAGCACCCCGTTCTCATCTGGCCGCATGACCTCCTTCGTCTTCTCCTCATTTCGCCAGTAACCTTTCTGTAATGCAAATCCACTGATACAGAGCTCTCCCCGCTGCCCTCGCGGCAGGATGCGGCCGGTGCGATCGACCACCTTCGCCGCCGTATGGGGAATGACTGTGCCTACCGTCGACGTCCGCTTCTCATCGGAGTCATCCAGCCCCGTAATAAAAGTGACGGGACTCGTCTCCGTCATCCCGTATGCAATCAACATTTTCTCAACTCCCATTTCATCGCGCAGCCGGTTCATCAGAGCCTGCGACACGCTGGACCCCGACGCTAGGCCCGTTCGCAGGCGTCGAGGCTTCTTGCCGATTTGCGTCAGCACCTCCAGCTCGGCGGTGTACATGGTAGGCACGCCTAAGATGACGGTCGCATCCTCTGCGAGGATTGCTTGGACAGTCCTCTTGACGTCGAAAAAGTCCGACGGAAAGAAGATGCTGCTGCCATGGCAGAATGAAGCCAGAAACCCTAGGACAAGTCCGAAGCAGTGGAACAATGGAGGGGAGCAGCAGACGACGTCTTCTGGTCCAAGACCCATCGCTTGACCAACAAAACGGGCATTGTTGA